GACATCAGATGCTTGGATCTGGTGCCACCCTGGCGGTTGATGTGCGCCTTGGTGGCCACGTTGTCCGTCATGAGGAGGACGTGACATCGACGAACCGTCAGATGGAAGTGATGGAGGGCCAACCTCGCCGCTCTCAGCTCCAGAAGGTTGATGCTGCAGCGGGATTCCGACACGGACCATTTGCCTTGAACCACGAGTTGGCCCAGATGTGCTCCCCAGCCAGAGAGACTGGCATCAGTGGTGACGACCACCCTGTCGGGCTCCCTGAAGAGGTGACCCTTGAGGATCGCAGGCGACGTCCACCATCGGTCGGAGGAATTGTGATCAGCATGCTTGAGTTGCTCCTGTTGGCCCTCTGGTGGGGCAAAAGTAGTCACTGCAGAGCTCTTGAGTGTAGCCTGGCCCAGGGAACAATCGACAGGCACGAAATCATCTTCCCCAGCAACTGCGACAAGAGCACCACCTGAGTCTGCCTTACCCGGATCACCCTGTGTGTCAAGGACCTGAGAGCCTCTACCCTGTCTAGGGATAGGAACACCCTGCAAGAGGAGGAATCTATCACCGCCCCCAGGTGGTTGATTCTGGTGGAAGGGGAAAGGTGGCTTTTCTCCAGGTTGATAGAGAAGCCGTGGCCTCTGAGGGTCCTCATGGTGATGCGCAGATCCCGCACGGCCTGCGGCCTGGATGACGATTGGATGAGGATGTCGTCCAGGTAGCACTGGAGCCGTATGGGTCTGCGCCGGAGGTGTGCCGCCACTACCGCGAGAACCTTCGTGAAGGTCCTGGGAGCCTACGACAGGCCGTATGGAAGGGCCCTGTATTGGAAATGTTGGCTGGCATAAAAGAATCGTAGGAACCTCCTGTGCTGCGGATGGATGGGGATATGGAGATACACCTCCTTTAGGTCGATGGACGTCAGGAAGTCTCCCTGACGGATCCCCGCCAGGATGGACTGGAGGAACTGCATCTTGAACCTCTGGTAGGCAATGAACCGATTGAGGTTCTTGAGATCCAAGATGGCCCTCCACCCCCCCGAGCTCTTGGGTACCAGGAAGAGGATGGAGTAGTAATCCCTCCCCTCCTGCCCGGGGGGGGGGCACCTGTTCTATGGCGTTTATCTCCAGGAGGTGAAGGACCTCCTGGTCCATCCGCTCCCTTTTTACCGAGCAGGAGGGAATGGGGTACCTGATGAAGTTCCTGGGGGGAGGGGAAAGAAACTCCAGTGAGAGGCCCTCCCTGATGGTCTGAAGCACCCAAGCATCCTCCGCCGTCTGGGCCCAATGGGAGGCGAACAACTGGAGTCGACCCCCTATGGGAGACAACATCGGGGAGTCACTTGGACTTGCGAAAGGGCCTATTGGAGGCCCCACCGTGGTTGAACTTACGGAACCCGTATTGCTGCCTCCCCGTCGCGAAAGGGAGACCTCTCCTGCGCCCTCTCCCCTGACTGCCCGAGGACCTGTTGGAAGGGTTAAAGGCAGTAGATGTGGAGGGCTCGGAGGCACGAAAGGACTGCCTCCTACGATAGTGGAAGGGCTTGCGGTCCTGCTTCTTGGAAGTCGAGGGCAAGACTTTCCTCGTCCTTAGACTCTATGAGGAAAGGGTCCAACACCTCCCCGAATAGTTTGACACCCTTGAAGAGCGCCGCAGCCAGCTTCCACTTATGTTTTTGGTCCACCTGCCAGTGGCAGAGCCAAATTAGGTGATGGGAGGTAACATTCGACGCTAGGGCCCTGGACGCAAACTTGGTAGCATTAAGTGAGGTGTCCGCGGCATACTGAGCCGCCGCAACTGTCTTAGAGACGTCTTGGTGAAGGCGAGCATCATCAGCCGGGAGCTTGCGTTGGAGTTCCCGCAGCCAGATCACGACACGGAGGACTCAAGTGAAGGGTGGCGCACACGCTTTGGCAGTGGAGGGCCAGACTGGGCGTGCTGAGGGGGGCCTGAGGACGGAGGTTCACGCTTCCGCATGGCAGCCTCGATGGCCTTAGCAATGGCCCTGTCCACCACCCTTTGCATGCTAGGGGATAATTCGGAATCAGAGTTGGACCCCGAATCCATATCCAGATCAGCAGGCTCCCCTTGAAGAGGAAGGGAACCTGCAGGAGGAATAGATCCGGAAGGCTCCACAGGGTCTTGCCCCTGGTCATAGGGCCAGGAGGGAGTAGGGGAAGATGGAGCCAAGGATCTGCCAGGAGATAGTTCCTGCGATCCAACCTCCTCGGCCAACAAGGCTGCGGGGTCCTCCCTGGAAGGGGGCGGGGCTGAGGATCCCCCAGGGGTAGAAGATGGGGGGACATCCCTCTCTGCCAGGCGCCTGGCCCTCTCAAATTGCTTGTCAAGGGCCCTCTGGCGCCTTTCGGCGTCCCTAGCTTCGGCCACAGAGGGGGTCTTGGGGTGTTTACCCTGGCTGACCACCCGCACCCTGCCAGAACCATCCTCCACAGTGGGGGGGGACCCACACTTGGAACCTGCGGGGGACCCTGTCTACCAGGAAGGGAACCTGAAGTGGAGGGATCCATAATGGATGATCACACAGGCAGATCAGGCAAGTTGACAGAAAAACAGGAAAGCTCTGACTGGCTACTCTGCAACAAAGGAAAAAAGAGAAAAGGCCATAAGTTGAAGCACTCCATAATCCAAGGCACAACAAATGTGAATACATAGGCAGAGAAAACAGAGACAGAGCAGAGAAGGGGGAGGCCAATGAATCTGCGGTATATCGGCGAGACCAATCGGGAAATCAGAGGGCCACCCAGGAGCCAGCGAGGAAAAAAACTTTAAAATCGCCAATCATGCAGGACCCGGCGCCTCTCTGTGCCAGGGCGCAGGCCAAGGATGGCACTGGCGCTAGCGCCGCATGGTGATCGATGAGGATGGCCGAGGGACAGTTGAGAGATGGATGAAAGCCCCCGCTGAAACTCCTGTCCACCCAGCGGCTGCCCGACGAGACGGAGCTGAGGTGGAGGCCAGGGCCTAAAAGGGCGCACAAACACCTTCGCCCAAAATGGCCACCGCAACAGCGTGGGAGGGAGAGAGGACGAGCGTGGGACGCATGCGGCTAAAACCGCCGCCCCCGCTCTCCTCTGCGGCAGGCTACACGATTACTAGGGCCAGGAACGAAGAAACTGCGGAAAAACAATAAAACATGGCCAGCGCAGCTTCGCTGCGTCCCCTAAAAGCCTAGCCGCCGATCGCCGCGCCTGTAAGAGACAAGCAGCAGGCTTCCGAAGCCGGCTGCGAGCACGCAGACCGGAGAGCCCTCCCCCACTCACCATCTGCCTCCCAGCCTCCAAGAGGATTAAATGCAGCAATCCAGGCTGCTCAGGGATGAAGAAGGAAGAAAAAAGGCAAAGGAGTTTAAAGAGGGAAAAGACCAGAATTGGAGAGTCCAAGCCAAAGGGAAAAAAACCAAGTAGCTGGAGCTTACAGAAATCAATCCGATCAGGCTGGACTGAGAATTTTTTCTGGAGGACATGGCCACGCAAGGAGGCATGGCCAGGGAAAAGACTTCTCAGTCCAGGGCAAGCAGACTGAAATAACCCATGCTTGGACTCTCCAAGTGGTGCACAGGAGAACTGCTGAGGAACCATGATGTTTCTTGTGTTTCGTTCCGCCTACCAGCTGGAGCAAAAACGCCGGCAGCCATTCGGAAACTCGCACATGCGCAGAAAGAAGGCAGAAAAAGATCATTTGCATAGTTTTTAGATATGAAATAAGATATTAATGTAGGAAATGGTTTCCTACCATTCCTTCTCTCACCATTGTAGAAAAAGTAGCACTGCACCATATGAGATCTTCCTGAACAAACAGCTTAAGGTGACCTTTTTATTCAAGCCTCATCCATTTGCTTCCAACTGTTGTAAACTGATAATTTACATTATTTTAATTAATTAGTTTTCTCTATGGTGGTTCATATCTTATTTTTCAAACCAAATGGTTTTGTTGTAGATCATTTTGTAACCCTTAGATGAAGGTATAGAAATGTAAAAATGTAGTTATGATATAAGGGAACATGGGGGGAGGGGCACTGACCAGTTTGAATGAATTTCCCCTTCCCTATAGGGCAGGTTCTCCCACACCCCAGCCTATATTTTCAGGAAGAGAAGTCATGCAATGTTCCTAAAAATTTGGTGCAGCGCAAGTTGCTAGATGGGATGGTCAATGACTTTTTCCAGGACTAGCAAGAAAATTGTTGAAAGAATTATAGATAGGAATAAGAAATCATGAAAAAGTATATAGAAGCAAGGAAAGAGAATATTAAAAAATATGAGTATTTATACAATTTAGGTTTTGGTGGACAGGGTAATTTCTGAAATATTCCCCATCTCTAATGTTTTTTTCAGTCCAATCATTCAAATGGGGCACATGTAATAGAATCTCAATATATCCACCAACATCTTATCATTTTTCTGTTCCCTCTTGATGGTTGATGTGTCTGTCTACATATGAAGTGTGCCTGCCTATTGATAAAGTAGTATCCACTATTAATAAAATAAGTGGGATTTGTTAAAATAGAGAATATAATTATTATTTTTATTGATAGAATTAATATCAATGTAATGAATATTGTTGTAAACATTGATTATTACCTTTCAAACTATTTATACCCAGACAACATACTGTTTAATTGAAAATGAAACTCTGAAAAATCAAAAACTTTATGCAAGATAAAGTAGTAGCCACCAGTAGAATGGTAACTCCCTTTATGTGATTCTCAGTCTCAGATAATTGAAGAATACTGTATCAAACCTAAGTAGCATATGTAGAGAGAAAGGAAGCTTAGTCACATGAATAAATACTCATATATTTTGGACAAGTATCTTTGACAGCAAGAATTAGGAACCATCTATGGCTTTAGGATTCTCATACAACATCCATTAAATTAATATGGAGGTTGTGTGAGAGTTTAATTAGCTTACACAGACCTAAGGAAAGCCATTTAGAAAAAGTCAAGTTTAACTTTCCTGCCCTGTCCACTAGATTTTTTTTTTTTACAGATGACAAAGAAAATGAAAAAACTGGAAAAAGATACAGCCACATGGAAAGCAAGGTTTGAGAACTGTAACAAAGCTTTACTGGACATGATTGAAGAGGTACGAAACAAATTTTAAAATCAGTTGCATATAAAAACCATATAATCTTGTTCATTAAAATGTTCTTAATAATGGAGCTGTGATGTCACTATTACTGGAAAGATTTCCAATACTGTTCATACTTACTTGTCTGCTCAGTGGCAGTTAACAAATGAAGTAGCAGAGTAGAGTTATGTAAGTGCTTGTTGCATGTGGGAAATGAAACGACAAAATTAAAGAAATCTGGAATTTGGAGCCACACTTTAATTCAGAGGCAATCTAGCTGTCAGCATGCATGGTCAGCTGGAGTATTTAGCAGCCACTAGATAACATTTGCACAATCCAATTATCCCACTTACATTTTCACCTAGCAAGTTAGGCAGATTTTTTTTTTCCAAAAAAAGACTTTTAACATGATTTAAGTGCAATAATGGAATGACTTGGGCTGGCTTCATGCATTGCAGAAGTGAAAGGCTAACAGTTACATGCTATAATTTGTAATTTCTCAATTTCCCCTTTCACACACACCCTTTCGCATCCTGCCAGCTAAAATTAGCATATCTAAGAAGTTTTAGCTAGCTCTATAGATTTGCAAAAAATGAATGTAAAATCTGGAGGCATAAAATGTACAGACTATCACAAACTTTGCAGAAATGGCAAGCAAATGGTTAAGAACTTGGGGTTACCTTTTAAAGTAGTATTTGAACAAGCAAACAAAAATGTCTGAGGAGATATTTGTCTGGCCATTTAGATTCTCTTCTTTCGTGTATCAGCTTGGCAGCCTTCAAATGTTTTGCTTTTTTTACTCTATCACAGAAAGCCATGAGGGCCAAGGAATATGAATGCTTTGTAGTGAAAATTCAAAGACTAGAAAATCTTTGCAGAGCTCTGCAGGAGGAACGGAACGTATTGTATAAAAAAATAAAAGAAGCACAATTCCCTGAAGAGAACAAAGAAGAGGAAGCAGAAGATGATGAGGAGGAAGAACAGCAAGCTGGAGTGGAGGATAGTCTGGAGAATAAGACAACAGTTACAAGTCAGGCTATTGATGAGCCATCTGCCACCAGTGAAATTATCCCAAAAGATTTGGCTACAGCTTTCATGGTGATTCACGTGAATATGCCTGTAATCCCAACCAATGAAGAAAAAGTGGAAGAACTACACAATCCCAAAGTATGTGACCCAATTTGTCCTCCTGAAATACTGGATTCTTGCAAGCCACAAGGCAACCAGGACTGCTGTATTGATCCAACATCCATGCCCAAAGCACAGGAACTAGAGGGGGACATAGTAAAACTTGATCCCGATCATCCCATGTTGAAGCTCTCAAATACTGACATGGAAGATGTTGATTAGCACGATATAATGATGTGTTTCCCCCAAAAATGACATTCTCCAACCCTTTCCTAAACTTTGCTGGTTTTCATAGTAATATGGCTTTACAAGTATTTTCAAACCTCCTTCAATTTCATAGAATACACGCTATTGTATTCCCATGATTACTGGTGGTGTTTGAATCTGCTTTACTTCTCATTCAGGTAAAGCCAAGAGTTTAGGCATCTTGACCTAATTACCTAACAGTAATTCGCCTCATAATTTTCTGCTACTTTCATCATAGTTAAGTCTTTGGAAATGTTGTGGATTTCTGAAAACATTTTTTTTGTTTTAAATTTATATGCCTTAAGTTGGGATCTGGTATGAAGTGATCTGTCATATGTTTTCTGATATAGAATGACGGTGTTAACACTGATCCATGTCCAAGCTTAGAATGGCTGTATTATATCTTTAGTCATACAATCTGACTTGAAAAATAAACTAAATTTGGAAATCTTTCAAGATCCAGTACAAGAACAGGTAGGCCTCAAACTTGGGAATGGCATTTAAATTTTGCTTTCAAAAATTAGCTGTTTCTTTTGCAGTAAATTCTTTTGGGGTTATAAAATATGCAAAATGGCACACACCTGTTCCTATATTCTACATCAGCAGTCCCCAAATCTCTTGTACTAGGGGACTGATTTCATTGGTAAAAATTATATTTTCATGGACTGGGGGAGGGGGATGATTTTGATTTCACTCGCCTGCCACTCACTTCCACCTTTGTGACCCAGTTCCTAACTATCCACGGACAGGTATTGGTCCATGGCTCGAAGTTGGGGACCCCTATTCTGCATTCATATTTTATATTACAAATAATTTATCTGTCTTTTTAAAATTGTCATTATTCAAACATGTATGACCACGATCTAGTACCTGAGTTTGTCATTGGATTCCCCTGAATTAAACAATTATTCAGTATGTTATCTAGACTATATAATTTTATGCCAATCAATTGAATTCACTTTTTTTTTAAACACTGGATCGCATCTCAGGAATTCTAGCCTAGTTTCAATATTAAGATTTTCATTTATAACCTCCTTAGTATTTTAAACATTGCCTTAATAGTTTTCATTTGCTGGGGATTCCCCCCCCCCTTTCTTTTTATTAGACAAAAGCTCACATTTCTACAAAAGCTGTCAGATGTGGATGTTTTTATGGGGACTATAAACAGAAATTTGAATTAGGCCTAATAATGATCAGATTCTTCAAAACAGTTGAGATATATTATCTCAGTAATGTAATGTAACGAACCATCTGAAAAATAGTTGATAATATTTGTCTGAGATCATCAAGGTATACATTACCACCTGTATTGAAGAGATTCAAATTAGGGATGACTCCAGAACCAATTTCACAGTAGGAATCTCTCCACATTAGACATTAAAAAATCTATTTGAAGATCTCTCTATAATACTACATTGTACTGTATAATGTATTGTGATTGCACTTTGAGAGAGCAGGTTGGTCTCCAATTTAAAAATACTAGAAATGACTACAAAGGCAAAAAGAGAAACCTTTGATCCCAAAGCCCCACCCAAACAGGCAGAGTCTATAAGACAAGCCAAATGAATCATTAATAAATAGCAAGTCTATACCTGAGATTTTCATTGAACTGACAACATCTATCATGCAAAAATGAGAAGCAACTCAAAATATCTTTTGAAAACCCCTGACAGATCCAAATTAATAGTTAGATGTTTCTAGGGGCTATTACAAATAGGATTCTGGCTACAAAATGATTGTTGAAGTATCCTGCTTGAGTGGTTCACTTCATGGTTATCTCATACATTTTTGTATTATTCCTTGTGGAAACATACATACAATCAATGTACTTGAAAGCAGTAAACAGACAGAATGAGGGTTTCCACCTACTCAACTTTTCTGTCTTTTTAAAGCCATAAATACTAAAAGGCTGGTGCACACTTAGTACTAATTCACCAGCAATTCACAACTATCCACTGTACTTACAGATCAAGAATTTCAAGCAGCCAGAAAAAGCCTGTGCCAGAACTGATGATCACACTTTTTTCACTTTCTACATGACATTAGCAACTAAATAAGCTTTATTTGTTTTTTTATATAACTCTAAGGTGTTGGGATGTTTGAGACACAGGTAGTACTCGACTTACAACCAGTCACTTAGTGACCATTCAAAGTTGCAACAGACCCCCAAAAAGGGAGGACAGGATTCGAAGTTCTGACATCTGTCCCCAGTCATGTTCATTTTGGGCACTCAGCCCATAAATGCACCAGCCTGCATTTATGGCTCTTTGCTACATCCTGTGAATATGTGACTGCAATTTACATTTTTGGTTTTGCTTAACTATCATGTGTTTGCTTCATAACTACCATGCTCATTTAAAGACGCCAGAAAAGGTCATAAAATCTGATGATCATGTGGTGACCTGAAATTGCGGGCTCAATTATTATAAATGAAGGACTACCTGTAACTTGTTTACAAATGTTTGAGAAAATAATGTCAAATTTGCTATTGCTAAGGAAACCCTGGAAGCCTTAGTTATGATACCCTGTTTCCCTGAAAATAAGACCTCTCCGGATAATAAGCCTAATCGGGCTTTTGAGTGCATGCACTAAAAATAAGCCTTGCCCCAAAAATAAGCCCTCTCCAAAAATATTGCAATGCAGCAGCAGCCATGAGGTGACCATGCTTGCTGCCTCTTGCACCTCAAAAATATTTCCCAAAAAATAATGCCAAATACTTATTTCGGGGGTCAAAAGAAAATAAGACCCTTTCTCATTTTCGGGGAAACATGGTATAAATAGATAACAGCTGATCAAAAGGTGGAGCTGGATATTTTAGTTATCCTAGGAATAGAATGAGAAAGATGTATAGAAAGGAATGAGAGAAAGATGTACCGAAGAACTTGACAACAGATTCAGCTTTCCATTTAAATCAAGACCTGTTTCTTGAATGTTATAGTCAGAGCTTTGCACTAGTTTACTTCCAGCATCAGCATTCATGCCTTACCTGTGGTTTTCTTTTAAAAATGGCCCACTATTAATGTAAAATGCTTCTTTATACAGAAGTGCTTGTATTTGTTTTGAATCTGTGATATAGAAATCAACAAAGATTATTCCTCCAAAATGCTGTTACCTTGCTTTCAGAAGCCCTGCTCTGACCACCAAAATAGTGAACCCTATTTAAAAGGAAGCAACTTTTGCAAGCAAGTCTTGTAACTTGAATCTTGGGAGCCAAGTGATGTCTCATTTGTTTTTTGAGGGAGTTGAGTTCAGCAAAAAATTAAACCCTAATGTCAGTCAAGAAATGTGTCCCAGCACATTTTTTCTGAAAGAGCTTATTCCCAGGTTCGGAACAATACATTCTTGTTCGGGTATATTTGGTATATCTGGTTAGATATACCAGTGACGGAGATCAAAATGGATTTCACTTAAATGCTCCTAACAGATATGTCTAGATGGTATATTCTCCTTTAGCACAGAAGGGGATCCAAAAATACGACTTTCCAGACCAGTCTCACTGGATAGAAACATACCTTGGGACTAATACCATGCATTAAAGACATTCTACAAAATGAGACTTTGGCATAGAAATCCGATTTAATTTTTAATATCAAACTAATGATATGGAGAACCAGATTGTAGATATCCACCAGTAAAACCCTTATATTATTGGTGACTAAAAAGGACCATAAGCTCTCCCTGAAAAGGACAGAAAGCCATTTCATGAATTAATGCATATGCAGACATGGTGTCGAACAACATAACAATCTATGGTTGTATCCTAGAAAATCACAAAGAGGTAATCTGGTGAAGCAAACCTTGTACGCCAATCCTTTTAATTTTGGTGTGCACTCATGTAAGAGTTTGAAATCAAATCTCAACCACGTTTTGTGATGGCTGTAAGGGCTTTCTTATTGCTTTTTCTAGAAGCATATATATTCATTTTATTGGCTACGTGCTTCAGAATTAGCAACAGCATTAACTGCTGAAGTCATGAAAGAGATTGTTTTGTTAATGAGATAAATTGCCTGAAACAATCAGATTCTTGAATCTTGTCACATCAGAGAATCAGAATCAAAAGTAATCATTCAGTTCAATCCTGTTCAATTCAAAAAATGCAAATTAAAGCATACATCCAAAGACACAATGATGCCACTTGAACTGCCCATCCGTATTCAGAGTTCTATTGTTGAATTTTAAATAATAGATTGTCCCTCTATCATTTAATAGAAACCTGCATCATTTCCAGTTAAACATATTATCCCAAATACTGCACTCTGAAAAAATGGGGGGGGGGGGACCGAACTTCTTTTGGGTGAAATATTAACCAGTTATTTAAAAAGTGATGAATGCTATCAAATGCTGCTTTTTCTTTTGCAAGCTCTTTCAGTTGTTCTTCAGAGATAAGCCAGAGTTCCATTAACAAAGGATGGTAGGAGGACTGGGTAAAACCTATTGTTGGTGAAACTTATTTCATACCTATTGTATTGGCTGTTTGGTTTCCTGAATGAGCTATTCCAGGTGGTAATTTCACATGCTATATAATTCATTGTTGAAGTTCTTGTGTGACTCAAATGAAGTTTGCTGGCTGGGAAATTCTCGGAGTTGAAGTCCACAAGTCTTCAAGTTGCCTACGTTGGACACCTCTAAAGCCTACCAGTGTTCTGAAACTGACCAATATTGCAAAGGTCTCTCAGGCCTTCTGACATAATGTAAATTTTGGTGGACAAAGCCACTCTGGATTCTGCTTAGTGCTGAATCTTATCTTGAATCTGGAGTTGAATCTACAGTTCAACTCTACTTGGTGCTGAATCTTATCTTAAAGTAAGAACAGGACCCTGCATTTTCATGATGATTACAGACACTAAAAAGACCCTCATGTTATTTCTGTTATTATCTTACTTTAAAAATACTTGCAGCATGCTTTGCACAGTCCTCTTACACACAACACTGCGAATCTTTATCTGGACTAGTCTAAAACAGCCACGAACATAATCCACCACAGTTTATTATTTTAATACAGATAAATCACAACCTCAAAATTTAACACCACAAAAATGGCATCATAAACAATTGTTTTAAAGTTTATCAACATTCATTTGCTATGTACATATTTTTCCCCTGCAAAAGTGCAATCCAAAACTTTTTTTTTCCTTTTGAGGAAAAAAGGCTTTTACTGAACAAACGCAAACAGGGCAAGCTGGATACCACACAACAATTTGCCCTTGAATACCTCGTACAAGTAAATCAGAAAAAAATTAAATTTGCTACATGTCTTCCTATCAAAAGAGCACACTGACAGAATCATCTGTTGCCTCAAATCTGGTTTTCAGTAATTTACTCACTTAAAATGATCAAATAAGCATCATAGTCATATAGTCTCAGGTGCACTTAATGTTTTTAAATGGAGTTTAAAATGTATGTTTTTGTGATCAAACAGTCTTTGAAGCTGAATTGTAACACTATTCTGCTGATTTTTTAGGAACATGTTCTCCTTTTTCTTCACGAAGGGTGGGAAAATGCAGGATTAACATTCAATATCTTCATTTTGTTATTTATATGTGTAGGTGTGGTTACCCACATGGAACAATTTAGTGCCAAAATGATAGCATTGTGTTATCAAATACAAATGCCACGGTGAATAAAAAGTTTTATCAAGTTTGGAAAAGATCATGTGGACACAGCAAAAGAATTTAACATGGTCTTGCAATGTTTAAGAAGAAAAACAAGTCACCAATAAAATACAGATGTTATGAAAGTAGCAGCTGTGGAAAGAAATTTCTGCCAGATGCAGTACAGGATACATCTCTATTGCACACCTCAGCAAAATGAAGTGGCTATATATGTCAATACACATGGAGACCATAAGTGCCAGTTTCTAAAACAACTGTGGGAACTTAGAAAAAAGATGCAGCTGCTTGAACATTTCAAAGAAAGCTACCCTGTTCACTGTCTAACACACTGTGAAGCTCCTCTTTCAACAGCCCTCGTTTATGTGGTATTGTATTATATGCAATCATGAAAGTCAAATTAATTCAAATTCATATATATCAAGAAACATTATTTTGGGGAGGTACTGATGATGCTAACGCACAATAGATATTTTATACACTATAAATATCAATCTATTATCGGGTTGGTTTTAAGGAATTTCTAATATGCTTTCTTTAATGGGGAAAAAATATTTATTTGTAAGATTTATTTTAGCATGTAAACAGCCGAACGAATGAAAGTGAACACCCTTTTTTCTGCAATTCATTCAATTCTCTCTCAATGTCTTGATCCTGTATCATTTAAGATTAATTGCAATTCTGCAAATGCCTTTTTTTAAATGGTCATACACACAACATGCACTTGTGGAGACATAATTTGAGCAGATGCTAAAATATAGCCAACATATCCCATAGAACCCCAATTTCATACCGCCAGCTTCAATGAATACATGAAGCTCCCTAGGAGCAATTTTCTTCAATACTAAGGATGCTAAATATCTGCCGGGGGGGGGGGTGCAGAAGAAACCATCTCTCTCTCTCCCATTCTCTCTCTCTATCTCTCATACACACACATACACATACACACACAACTGTATGCATTTTCTAAATTGCAACCATAGTATTTATTTGCTTTACATCTTTCTTGGTCTTGGTATCTGTGATTTGCATTTGGATTACTATGCTGCTACTCTATTTTTAGTACAACTCACCTTAAATTTTGAATGAGAAAGTTGATGAATACTACCTGTTAACCTAAAAAAATTATGGCTATGGATATGAGCGTTCCTGGGCAATCCACACTGAGTAAAGTAGAGAGGAGTAGCGATAGCCTTTATGAAACTTGTTACCCAGTAATAACATTGTGTTCTATGCATGTAGGTTGTGGGTAATGCATGCACATAAATGAGTTCACGGCCTCTATCATTCCTGTATAATTTAATGTCAATCAAATGTATCAATTAGGAAGGAATTCTATCTACGTCTCAGGCAGTGACATATATACAACTGCTAATGTTCATATCTTTATTACATGGTGGGGGGAAAGAGCAACATGATTTATTATCCAAACCAAATGCTAAATTGTACACGGCATGCAAATAAGAAAATAAACAGTATCGGAAAGGCCTCAATAGAAAAATCCAATTGAGTTGAAAAGTAAAATACTTCACTACTGTTCCCCTCTCTTGAATAATTACAATAATGTTATCAATAAATGTTTTTGGAAATTAGATTCCAAATATTTCAAATTCATATGCAAGCTATGAAAAGAGTTTGACAATCTTGCAGGGCTGAAAGAAAACATAGTTTATGAGACCACATATTATTGGATATCCATTTTATTATACTTTTGAAGCATGTGTGTCTTTTCATTCATGCTTGCCATGATCCCAATGCAGCATTTTCTTTTCAATAGATTATTGTCGCTACACAATGTTTATTACCCAGTACAAAATTTGGAGTGATCAGATCCACCAAAACTCTAAAGTGCTTACACACACTAGAACTATCTTCCCCCAAATAACACTCTTCAGTTGGTCTGAAAACTAGTACTCTCAAATCTGCAGACCCAAACATTGGAAACAAAGCAGAGAAAACGGCACTTAAAAATTGAAATTATTTCTCTGTATATATATTTTTTCAGGGCTACTTGATGGAGGTTGCATCATGTTGAATGAAGAACAGCTAATCTCCCCCCCCTCACCTAAATTACCTCTTCCCCCAGAGCTGTTTTGAGCTAAGTAGCCTAAAATAGTCATCCAAATAATAACTGAATGTTGCTGTTGCTACATTTCACAACAACTGTGGAAAAGGAAAGAGGTTTATACTGCTCACACTGACCCATCACATCATTGCAGTAGACACCAAATTATCACATGCAATATCCATAAAAACCTAAAATAAAATGATATTGCAAAATCTTATCACAAATTTCTGATGTGACAGCTCATTTGCTCCTTAGTGCTGATCTACAAAAATTACATTTACCTGCTCATCTTTGGAAATAATGTTATAATTATAGTTCAATAAAACATTCCATTTTCAAGTAGATCATTTGTTTCTAAAGTTGAACAATTTGTGCTGAAAAACCAAATACTTAGACTATCAAATTTCAAAAGACTGACCATTCACTTTTAACAAAAAAAAATTTCCACATGTAAAGATAAAGTAACTACAACACTGATAAAAGAACAATAATCACAAAACAATTATTTTGTCCTTAAATTTCTTCGGTTTCAATTATTTCACTTTTAATTTCTCATAAATTAAAAAAAAATTAACTAAAAGTGTCATTTCAAAATAGGTACCAAAAAGTGGGTTTAACCTCTTTTAATATGACTTAATTCATACTAGGATTCAAAAGACATAAAATGAATTCCACAAGTCATGGGGCATAATGCACCTCACATGATAACATGTATCCAAAAACAGCAGGGAGGTTCAAAATATTGAGATCTGTTATTCAACAAGATAGTATAAGCCATTAATTATTAAGATCTTTAGCAGCTTTTTTGAACCTTAAGTATGCTAAAATCTTTTAATTAATTCCTTGTTTGTTTATACACAGCCCATATATGCACACATAATCTTGGGAGTATTTCTGCAGAAATTTTACCTGATGATATGTGAACAACTAATAAAAACTGTTCTATAGACACCATTCAGTTTTAGAGAACACTTTTGAAATACTGTAAAGAAATTATTAAATATTTCAACCTATAGGAAAATTATTTTACAGGTAGGCACACTAATCTATCATCCTTCATTTAGTTTGAATATAGTTTATTATAGCTGTACCAAGAGACAAGGGTTAATCACAATAAAAAAAATTGCAACGTAAGTTGCAGATTCCTCTCTTGATAACAGATTTTGTAATGAGTTTTGCAGTATTACCAAACACTCTAAGGTGACTTTAAAATGCTTGAAAAAAGCTGAAATAACACAACTTATTAAAATTGCAAGTTTTTGTAGAAATTTCCCTGACTGTTTGAATTATAGTGTTAGTGGAAACAGTATGATCTGTCAGTGAGAGTAACTATGATTATCAAATATATATCCCAGGAAGACACTATGCAAAAATAAAACTGTTTTAAACAGTGCATTTTTTGATATAGTATTACATTCATTTGTCAATGGTTAAGTTTATCTCAATAAACAGAGCCTCTAACTATATTAACCAGCACTACTAATATTATCAAATCCTGATTTTGCTCCCAGGAATGATGTAAGTTCAACAAAGGAGCAAAATATGAAGATATTGGATGGACAGAGGTGCACACAAGGAAAATGTCTTTGAAAATCTGGCTGTACAACTACCCAGTATCCTTTCTTAGTTCATCTAAAATGTACAGATAGGATCTGCATACAAACCTGGTCTGTGGATTAACATTAAGCATTTGATGTTAATTGTAATTTGTAACACCTCCCCTCCCTCTTCCATATTTTATATTAGGCCTTGAAATATATTAGAGTGCATGGGAAAAGGCAGTAGTAATGAGAGTGCTGCTTAGCATAGAACCACTTTCTATTCCCCCAATATCTTCAAAATCTGTTCAGCTCCCACTCTTCAGAACTGATATTCAGGGCACAGCAGAAGACTGAGGGACTACCTTATCCAATGGTGGGATTCAAATAATTTAACAACTGATTTGCCCAGGGTCAGGTTGGCTGTCATGGGAGGCGTGGCCCATCCCCATCCTCCAGCTCCACCACACAGGTGGGATAAGCCTCTGGCAACAGCCAACCTGACCCTAGGCAAACAGGTTGTTAAATTACCACCCACCCCCCTATCAAAGTAGATCCTGGGCATTGCACTATACTGCAATGGAGAAATGAGCAACAGAATGGCCAGCACGAGAGAAGTAGGAGGAGCAGGGAGAAGAAAGAGGGAAAGCGACCTTCTTCTTCCTTCATACTGGCCTCTCTGTTGCCTGTTTTTCCATTGCAGCGCAGCACCCAGGATCCACTTTGATAGTAGGGGTGAGTAATTTAATAACCAGTTTGCCTGAACCAATGCGAACTGGCTGAATCCCACCACTGACCTTATCTATAAGCAGAACTCTACTCCCATGATGCTGGGTTTCCCGCTTCATCTGGGCAGACCTACAATTTTCTTTCTTCTACATGTTTATGAAAATCTGTTCATCTCTCCAACCTACAAAAACTTGAAGTCACTGTTTCATTTAACAATAAAGGGAACAAATAGAATGGAATTTTCACTCCAACCTGGGTGAATATAGACAATTTCCCAGATGTGATGGAACATTTTTTTCAGAATATCCAGGCAGTGTGATCCCAACACATCTGGAAAAGAGCTAGGATAATATGATAGAGAGACAAAAAAAGATGGTGCTGCATCTCTAGCCTTCACTGAAATCATGGCAAGAGGACCTGTCTGAATGACACACATCTACACAGGAACACATGTACATAACCACGCAAAGCTTGCTGCACTTTCCTTTCAATTAGAAAAAAAGCCCCCCTCCCCTTCACAGAGCAGATCTTATAAAAGATATGTAAAATAAATGGAACAATACTCATAAAATAGCTATTACTATGGCAAAGCTTTTGTCAATAAGCTTCCAGAACTTTAAATGAGGAAAATGGCTTCACAAAATGATAGTCCAAATTTCCACAGTGTGGACACTGCTGAACGTTGCTGTATTCTGAGAAATACTGCATCCCAATACGTACATCTATAACAGGTTTCCCACAGTGTTTACAGTTCAGCCGAGCCTGTAATAGAGGAGAGAGACAGAGAAAAAGAGAACAGAATTTCAAAAATCTCATAATTGGCTTCCATCGTCCATCAAACCCTATCATGCTTCTATTTGTTTTATTCTTACTGAATATGCCTTATAATTATAGTCTGATGGGCCAATTCCTACTACAGCTTGTACTTGGGAAAACATGCCTGAATAATAAAATTCGGAACATCAATCTCTTGTGTCTGTAGAATCAGCTATTAATGTAGATTTTAAAAAATGAATCAGTTACCTAGAGTGGATTGCATTTTACAATGCCTACATTGGATGCATAGATTTCATCTCTAGGTATATCAGACTAAAATGAAAGGCAAGGATTAAATCTAGGAAGATTTGGTGCTTTTGATTCATTTTATCTTAACATCTGGCCAATATGACCCCGAAGTATTGAAACTCTTCCTCTAGGAGGGCATTTCCAGGAGATGGAACAGCACTGCATCACCAGGCTTCATCTTTATTTCAATGCACACTGAGATAATTACAAGTGCTATCTTCTCTATGTGTACACGCAATTCTACACAACATGCTCTTTAATGAAGATGTACAGGACACAGACAACAAACACATAAATTCTTCTTAATCATTAGCTGCAGTGCTCTGATAGTCACATGGGATTCTCCTCATCACTGTGAATGGGAGGCAGTATTGAAAGAAAATGCTCAGCCAGGTAGAGCAAAAGTTCAAGCAGAGAATTAGATTTGAATTTGCACAGCTAGAAGACATCCAGGGCTGACTCTTTCCCCCCTCCCCCCCAAGCCTCACAGAGCCTTATCTATTTGTTCCCAAAGGAAGGCAAGCAATCTAGGGAGATTCCTGTATTATAGGCAGAATACAATAAAGTAGTTAGCCTGAACTCTATCTATGTGGATCTAATTGCTTGCACCTGACCGGTACTGCTGGAAAAGATATGTGCTTTTGGAAGAGAAGCAGCATCCACCAGAGAGTCATGAATGTATCCTCATCCATGAAATAGTCTCTAGACAGCTATCACTATATCCCAGAGGCTTGCAAAGACCGTGGAACATAATTTACTAAAATATGAACTCTTTTATAATACTAACCTGACAACAAGGAGAGGCTGCTAGAATGTCATAAGTATACATGGTTCCCAGCTGATGCCAGCTTCCATCCCACCGAGATTTGCACTTTATGCAGATAATTTTATGAACCCCTTCTAAACAGTCTACACAAACAGCATATAGGTGCATAAGCCTTCCTGTGGAGAGAGATTTGTAAAAACAGAATATATCAAATGTATCATATATTAACAGAATTGTGAATAGCATTTTTATTAGAAAATGCAAGAAATGAAGCAGTCAGCAAACATTATGTTTCTAGTCATCTTCTGTCAAAATACTATTAAAGGGGAAAGTCTATTTTATTCAGAATTACATTCCTAACTTCAAATGCAAATTATTATTTCATTACTAGTTTAAACTAATGCTGGCAGTCAATCTGTATTAGTTAGCTTCTAAATGTTGAAGTTTGGGTTGTAAAGTTTAGTCTTTAAAAATTCAAAATTGATTTTTAATTAAACTACAAATCAACTACATTAAAGTTAACACATGATCAGTATCAGTAGCTAATTTCTCACATCAGAATGAACAAGACAAGCATTCCAATTTTCAGTTCAACTAAGAAGCTTAACAAATAACTTTAGAGAATTACTATTGTATTACAGATTTACTCTCAGCTGTATATCACATGCTTCAGAGGGGAGGATGGGCTCTATGCTACTGTAAATTCATAAGATTTTTCTCCATGTGCAAAGCAAAAGTAGAACCCACAAGTTAATTAGGTGTCTCTATATATTTAATTTCCTTCCAGTTATTATTTCATAAATGTCTACAGTATTTATACATATGAATAAAAGTCATATATGATTATCTTTTTGGCAAAAGAATATATCACACAAACTCTTTATGCAGAGAAGAAGTCAGGAAAAACAGATTATTCTCAACAGGAAATGCAGGCTTTTTCAAACCACAAAGTCTCTGCTATAACTCAGTTTCAGGAAAGAGTTTAAATTGCTACATGAATACACTTGCATACTCTGCATAAATATAGAAAAGATTCCGGTGTGAAAGCAGGAAGGTAGAATTATATTATAGCAATTGTGCTTATCTCATAATATATGATATGGAAAAACAAACTTCCTTGTTTAGGAGAAACTCCCCATTTCATGCAGTTTTCACCTGGAAAAAATACTAGGAAAATGTGAAATAACTTCTCATCAAAGATGGATATTAGCTAGCCCAATGCAGGTACTTACCTGGATTTTATATGGTGCTAATCCATACCATAGTTTGTTTAGTTATTATTGGACTAAATCATACTTCACATCGAATGTGTCAAAGTTTACAAACCAATAAAGCACACAAATGTATAGCTGTATTGTGTATTTGGTTTGGTTTGAGCTTAATATTGTGTGAGCTCAAACACATTATTCTAATCCTTAAAGGATGACTAAGAACACCGTCATTATCCTTTCCTCTCATTTATAAGTCATCTCATCCATTTTTAACTTACAATAATTATGTTTATTGAGTAAGCAATAGTAAATACTAATCTCAAAGCTAATTTTCAAAACTCTTTAAACTTCTTATTCTTTAACCCAATTTATTCTCAACTAAATATCATGTGACATCCAAATCAAGAGAGCTATAGAAATTACCAGGTATGGAATGGAGGCAGGAATTGCATGGAAGGACAGTGCAAAGTGAGGCTATAATATTTCTGTAGTCTCCAAACTATGATTTATTAGTACCTGATAGGGGAATTAGATATCACTCTCCTCTGCCCAACAGCTGGGATCACCTACCTGTCATAAACATTTAGCATAACTATATTCCAGTCCTTCATCTACTCCCACTTCTGCTGCTAGGTAAGATGAGAAACAAGTTTACAGACTCCTCCCCGCCACCTTATTTGTATATATACAAATTTATATGTTTATAAATTTATGTACAAGTGGCCCTCACAATAGTTCACTTAGTGGCCATTCAAAGTTACAACGGCACTGAAAAAAGTGACTTATTACCATTTTCACACTTACGATCATTGTGGCAGCCCCATGGTCACATGACTGGATGCTTGACAACTGACTCACATTTATTACGGTTGCAGTGTCCTGGGGGTCATGTGATCATCTTTTGTGTCCTTCCCCCTTCAATGAGGAAGCCAGATTTACTTAATAACTGTGTTAACAACTGCAGTGATTCACTTAACAAATGTGGCAAGAAAAGTTGTAAAATGGAGCAAAACTCACGTAACAAATTTCTCACTTAGCAATAGAAATTTTGGGGTCAATTGTGGTCGTAAGTTGAAGACTATCTGTATTTGTACTGTATATATAAAGCATTTGTAATTATTTTGGGAAATTTTCTCCGGTATCATTATTTTTATGATTTTAGATTAAATTATTATGCTTTTAAGATTAAATTTCCCAGGTTTAAGAGTGATCAGAATGGCTTCTTCAAATTCATACTGAAAAATGATAGGGCTGCCAAATCTGGATAGCAAGTCGTCAAATTATCACTCGAGGGTAACATTTCAATTCTATTTCCCAGATTTTTGCAGTTCAGTTCAGAAAGCATCAAATTATGCTCAAATGGGAATTTTAAAAGGACTCTCTAGGACAGCGATGGCGAACCTTTTTTCGCTCGCATGCCATAAGTGGGGGGAGCGCAGGGAGGTCGTGTGCGGGTGTGCCGCACCCGTAATGCAATGCACGCCCCCCCCGAGTGCGCATGCGCACTACAGGCGCGACCCCCATTTTTGAATGCTTTTTTCACCCTCCCCAGGCTCCAGAGGCTTTATAGGAGCCTGGGGAGGGCGAAAACAGCTTCTCCCCACTCCGGAAGCCCTCTGGAGGCTTCAGGGACCTTCAGGAGGCTTCCCTGAAACCTCGGGAGCAGTCAACCTCTGGAGCAGTGAAGACAACCCTCCGAGCAAACCGGAAGAACACTTCTGGTTTTCTCGGAGGGTCATTTTGAGCGCTCCGAAGGCTTCAGGAGGCTTCCCTGAAGCCTCGGAGCAGTCAAGACGACCCTCCAAGCAAACCGGAAGTCGGTGCCTGAACTTCCGGTTTGCCAATGGGGCGGTTTTTTGCGCTCCGGAGGCTTCAGGGAAGCTCATGAAGCCTCCGGAGAGAAGCTGGGGATGCTCTTTTCGCCCTCCCCAGGCTCCTATAAAGCCTCTGGAGCCTAGGGAGGACGAAAAATGGCTTTAAAAAAGGGTGAAATCAGCTCGTGTGCCCTGACAAATGGCTCCACGTGCCACCTGTAGCATGCATGCCCTATGTTCACCATCACTGCTCTAGGAATATGCATTTGGGAATTAAAGCCTATAAATACCCAGAAGCCCCAATTTCCATAATTAAGCAAAAATTAAATAAAATGAAAACAGGAAATATTGGAAATCCCTGATTTACAATCATTCGTTTGGCAACCATTCAAAGTTACAATGGCAATGAAAAAAAGTGACTTATGACCAGCGCTCACAATTATGACCATTGCAGCATCCCAATGGTCACACGATTAAAATTAATCGTGTAATCTGACTGTTTGGGATATTTCTTTAAGGAAAACTCTAAGCAGAGTATATGCAGAATGAAAAGTCTGCAGTGCTCTTTCAAAAATACAATCACATCAAGAAATGCAAAACACGATCTTTTGATTCCAATACATTAGCTACTACTAATCAACAGCTGATAACAGGAAAATATGTGAAGAGAATGCACATTATTATCATATTTGCACATTATTTGTAGTCATCATATACCTCAGCAATGAAGCAACTGCAATCATGCAGGGACAGTGTGGTCCTGGAAGTATTACTATGACTTACTCTAATGGGCAAATACAGAGAAGATGTACCTTGTTTTCCCCAAAATAAGAACTCCCCGGTTAATAAAACCAATCGTACTTTTGAGCGTGTGTGCTAAAATAAGCTCTCCCCCCGAAAATAAGCCCTTCCTGAAAATATTGCAACACAGCAGCAGCCATGAGGTGACCATGCTCGCCACCTCCTGTACCTTGCATTTATCAATTAAATTTTATTATTAATTTTAATGACCTAATTTATGCAGCAGTTCTCTTAATTCTTTTTATCTAATTCTTTTCTTCCTCTAAGTCCAGAAGAGACCAATAATATTAGAGAGGTTTCTAATCATATTTTGCTTTTCTAGCCTGGCTGCTTTTATCTTTGTCTAAATCTCTTATCAGAAAACTTCCTAACAATAAAGCTTCAATAATGT